CTCCAGACTGAACCCCCCCAGTTCCCCCAGCCATTCCTCGTACAACATGTGCTCCATGATCCTCACCAATGCAGGTCTGCAAACACCTCTCTGAAAGTTGAGTCTCTGTCTTGCTTTGCTCTTTCATTTCTAGATGGACAGAAGCATTTGTAGATTTGCAACTGAAGCAGTTGATGCAGCCCTACAGATGTGCAGCCCCACATTTGTAGAAGGTAATGAAAAAGGCAACTTTTTGCATAAGGCAGTGAGGAGAGCCCTCTAGTCTGGAGGCAAAGCCTCTGGACGTGCGCAGAATGACTGCTGGGAAGAACAAACCCCAGAGGGGCAGGTAAAATCCTTCAACACAGCGACAGCAGCTCTGCAAGCCTCATCTTGCAGGGCCAAGAGGCTGCGGGTCTTTTTATGGCCCTTTGGAGACACATCTTTCTTTGTTCTATTTTATTCAGCCTATATTTAAACTTCTCCCTCCATATGTCCACTTGACCCAGTGACGCAAAACTCTGCCAACTCCTTTGAATCCCCTGGCAGTGTCCTGCATTTTCTGGGGCAGTAGTGCTTGCTGGGTTTAACTCCTAGGGACCAAATAGCAAGAATAAATAAAAGCAATAACCAACGCAGCAGCAAATCAAACTTTGCAAGGGCTCCCAGTGCTGACTGTTCAGCCCGAGGCTTATGGCTAACACTGTGTGAACAGATGAATATTAATGCAAAACAACATTTTGTACCCCTGCCACTGTGTGAAGAGCTTTTCACCTCGCCTAATCTAGGAACGTATTACAAGTGCTTTGAAGCTAAACCCTGTGTTTGACTCGGTTTTGGCTACAGTGGAAGCTCACGGCTCTGGTGATGGAGCCACAGTAACGGGTGAGTCCCAGGTGACAGGAGAGCTGCAGCGCGGTGGGATGCAGGATGCTCACAGCCAGCGATACATGGAGAGCAGTGGTCCCCACCCACAGCATCTTTGCAGCACAGAGCGGACCCTGATTCATGGCTCCCAGCTGCCTGCTTGCCTCGCTGCTCTGAGCTCAGCTGCTTTCTCTTTGCTTGCTGCAAGAGAAGCTGCACTAAGAAACCTCCCAGTTCTCTGTGCATGCCCCAGATGAACCTTCTGTAACTGCTGGACAGTACTTTACCCTTCTGCCACCCTTCTCCCCCTCCTCTTCCAGTGGAGGTAGCCCTCAATCTAGCTCTCTCAAGGAGTATTTTTGCTCTTCCTTGCTTGTACCCTTCTGTAGCTTTTCTGGCACAGGGCAGTTTGGGAGCTGCGTGACCAGGCAGAGCCATGCCCTCCCTGCAGCCCACTGCTGCCCCACACTCCCTTCCTTGGCAAAGGCTGAGCACACAAGAAAGATGCTACATGCTGAAAACTGGAGGATCCAACTTTATTTGCTAGATTCTCACTCAAAAGGGAACCCTTACCCTCCCAGTCCCTTTGTATCCGGACCCTGCCCCATCTGCACGTGCGATGGATGGAGGAAGCTTCAGCCCATGTTAGTACAGCACAGGAGGCTGCAGCCAGCGTGGAAAGGCCGCTAGGCACAGCGACTTACCCAGAGCTTGAACCCAGAACAGAAAAGGGGATCTGATCTAAGGATGGTAGTGATGGTGCTTTGCTTCTGGCCTGACACATCAGGCTGTTTTCGAAGGAGGGAAACAGAGAACAGACGAGTCGGAAGCAGAAGCTGGTGCTCTGTGTCTGCAAGGGGTGTGTGTGTGTGTGTAATATCAGTATTCAAGTGACTCCCAGTCGTTATCCTCTCAATGGCATTTTTCCTCCTGTAGACCTCAGCATTGCAAGGGTGTTTCAGGGAAGCTGTCACTGTTTTAGTAAAGCAGGGAACATCTCACCGACAGAACAAAGGGGATCATCATCCTCCTGAGCCCCAGGCCCTCTGCCAAGGAATGCAATGCCTTGTCAAAGTTTTCTTGCAAATGGTACTGAGACAGACCTTGAGAAACAATTACCTCCGTGCAGTGAAGAAAAAGGGGCCCCCTGATTATTCCCTTGGCTTCCTGGCTTATAGAAACAGGGAGGGTGGAAAATGGAAAAAAAAGGAGGAAAAAAAAATAGGGAGAAGTAATAGACTTTGCCACAGAGGAGGTTGTAGGAGTGGCATGAGCATGCAAGGATGGTGCATGGGACATACCCATGCTCCATTCTGTCCTTGCAGGTTGCCTCCTGCTCCCCGGGATGAGCCCTGGCAATAGAACAGAGCAAATGGCAAGTTCCCCAGCTCTCCTCCACCGGAGAGGGCTACGAGCTAGGCATGCCTGGTTCATCTGTATTTGCTTCCACTCCATCTGGTTTTACAGCGGACAGAGCATCAAAATCAACCTTACAGCTGCTCCAAGGGAGAACAGAGCAAAGCCCCAGGTGGGAGCCAGTAGCACAGTTAACCTGTGTGAGTAAAGCTGTTGGCTTTTCCTAGAGTTGGGGGTCTGGGGTAATCATTCCTTTTCCTTTCCTGCAGTCTGTGCTGTGAAGGGACAGGGGAGGTCAGAGTGACAGAAGATGTTGCTTGAAATGATCTACAAAACATCTGGGAAGGGAAATCCAGGAGCTCTGACTGCAACTTGAGCTCAGGCAAGGGGCTGTTGAGGGTTTTGGCTAGCCAAACTCCCAAATTTGCTTTTGAAGGTCTAACTTGCCCTGGCCTGTTAGCCCAGGGTGTGTTTTGAGCCTTCCAGAAATACATCCCATCTCAACACATGAAGGCTGAGCCATTCTGAACCCATTCCATAGCTTACTGTAGACAGAATTATGGGCCAGCTCTCTGCAGTCGCAAGCCACACTTAGCTGAGCAGGTAACAAGCGGGGACCAACAGCCACCCACTGCTCTGACTCGAGAGATGGCACCAAAAGTGGGAAGAAAATAAACCAAGCTCCTGGTGGAGTGTTGCAGGGGTTTGGGGGTGGGGGGTGGGG